CATGAGAGAAGAGCGACAAACTCATGCTCCACACATCCGAACAGACAAACGTGGCCTTTATCCTACTCCCTGTTAGCATAGTTTTTGTCCAGCTTACTGGCAAATCGGTCCTACTTAGGTTTTTCCTGATGAATATTTCTGTGTTTCTGGGAGCAATATGCAGATCAGAATTAGCTGTTGTGCTGCATGACCGAACATGCTTTTCGGACATAAGAGTTTATTCACGATCCTGTTATTAGTTGGTTAACTGAAATGCAGTTGTCCGGTGTACCTACCTATTCCAGTCCGTTTCGCTTCACACCGTTTTTTGTGTTTCAGGCGCTTCAAGCTCCGGCGTGTCATGAAAATATGGTCAAGGTCGGTGCCTACATCCTCGGTGAATTCGGCAACCTGATCGCCGGAGATCCCCGATCTGCGTAAGTGTTAGGTTAACACAGCCTCAGGTTTTCAAGTTTGGTGAAGACGTTTCACTCGTTAACTGGTTCGCACTAAAATGTCCGCCTAATCCCTGCTTTTAAGTTCTTCCTATTTTTGTTCTTGATTCCAGTTGGTCAATTAAAAAAACCTGGTAAATAGTATTTGTGTTTATCTTACACACCTACACACGTATTGATCATTGGTGCTTTCCAAGTACCCCTATTGTTTATTTTGCTTTCTCAGTTGCTAATAATGAAGATTTGTGTTTGCGTGCTTGTGTGTGATTATTATAAGCAGAACCAATCCATCTTCGTTCACTTGCCGTTTTACATTTCCCATATGGGTGCAAATTTCACAATCCCTCGGATGGTTAGACGACTCCATGCATTCGTGTAAATGCTGTAAGGTAACACTGATCAACTACAATTGATGTGTCCTCTCATGCTTGTTATTCTTATCCGAGTCAAGAGCAACGCACTCACGAGCTATGCAATCCCCATTGACCCAGTCAAACCTGATCCGTCATTACTGCACAACTGTTAACCCGGTCTGCTTTGACTTTTATGTCTTATGTCTTTCCGTGACTGTAGTGTTTGTGATATCTGCTGATACGTTTCTGATACGCCCCGAATGCTCAAAGTCGATTACTTTCTTTAGCCCCTTCATGATTCACCCCTCCTTGGAGTTCTGGCATGCACTATAATACCAATTAATCTCTGTACTTAGTTATTCACATGAGAATAGTTGTTGTGCTAACAGATAAATAGTTATAGCTTAACTGTTCATCTCTTTCTGTTAGGATTGCTAAGAAGCAGTAAGCTACGTCATCGTTCCTAAATACAGACCATCTAACTTATGGCGGACGAGCAGCGACAATGTCCGGAGGATGTGGTCTTTTGTTTATCACACATCTTCCCTATAAAATACCTAAATAGTCTGACCACGATGCTGTAACATGGCGAATGCGATTCGTCGTTACTAAAGTTAATTTTCTTTGTTCNCTGAACAAGACTTTCCACGGACAAATAGAACAATCCTGCCTTCATTGCTATTTGCACTTGGAGGTGCAAACTTCATTGAAAAGAGTGCTAAAGAACATCGCTTTTAATGCTGTTCTCAAGAATCTCCTTGAGGTCACCTCCTCTAACAGGAGATGGTTGTGCGAAACTAATAATGCACCACTGGCAACCATGCACCTATATTCTCCTGTCGTACCAGGTATGTGTAAGGATGCAGACTACGTCGTCGACAAACGCAGTTTTCTTGATTGTCTCCAATCAACCATGTGCAGAGTCTTGGATTCAAACCTCGAAGACTAGAGACTTATTCTAAATTATCGCGCTGTGCATTTTTTTATGCCTCTTCCCCACGTCATCTGTTGGCCCCCACGTGGCTTTCTCCACTCGGGAGGAGCAATTGCAAATACGGTATGATGCGGTAAAAGACAGCTGGATATGCACAATACGTGTTGTAACGAGCGAAGCATACCAATCTAAATTTGAAGTGATAGGGGTTTTTACACCAGAACACCCCCGTATGCGGCGGTTTACCTCGGTGTCACCTATTCGCTCGATCCACCCCAATAGCGTCAAACTGTTATCAACGATGGCTAAAGCTTCCAGTCGATGGATGTCTCACATTAGCAAACACGGGGGCACAGTATGCCCAACGTTTTAATTTGAAGGAAACATCGACTTCAAAGGTGCTTTATTCCAGCGCACACAGCTCAAGCGTGGGAAGTGCACGCGGTCACCTGAAAAGGACTACCGGTATTAGCGACGCAGCTATCTAGATAGAAAAGCAATCAATTAAGGTTAACTCCCGACTCTAGTTTTGAAATAGGGGTAGTCGACACTTAGTTTTTTGGAGAATCACCTTGCACTTTGAAGCTACCAAACGAATGTCGAATCGAGTACGAGAACCTGTTGAACCGTCAGGTGTGCTTTACATTGGCGCAGACGTGATACCTTAAAGGTAGTTCAAATCGCACGGCTTTTTTCCAGCTACCTTTTAATGGTAACATTTCGTAGGTTATTTAGTGTTTTGCATTATTTCGTTTACAGGAACAGCGAAATAAGGCTTAGTGAACGAACACCGTTTCTGGTTTCGAACAATTTACTTAACTCACTGTAGACTCTTGCTCTGCCAGAAGTATGCAAATATATTCTAATTCACATTTCTATTGTGGATAAATTACAAAACTGGTGCTTATTGAATCCCATAAGGACACGCTCGGTTCGGTACAATTAAACAGCAAATCATAGCGTTCACTCACGGGTGCTGAAAAGTTAGGTGTTTCAATGCTTCATTGAGCCTTGACTTGAATGAATAGGTGGTTGGTACACAAGCAACTTGAGGTAGAAAAGAGTTCCACGTAGTACAAACTCTGAGGCTGAAAGAGTGACGCATACAGTCTGGCCGACTCTTTTTGAGCAAAAGTTTAAACGGATATCCTCTGAACTAACCATTCCTGGATAGTGTTAGTAGAATACTACAAGAATGGTTAGATTAATGTAGTATTTGATATACGAATTTGTCATTTTTCACATCCACCAACCATGTACCCTCGTGCGGAGGTTTTGGTTGCTGCCTCATGGCTGCCTATTGGGATGAAAGATTGAAGGGAAGATACGTTTAAATCAGTGTCACAGTGAAAAAGAATTCATAAAGAATAAGGTTTCAAATAAATTGAAAAGATGCGCGAAGGCCACTGTTTACGACACTCAACCGGTGGTGGCCAAGTGGTCACCAACTAGTGACCTGGGTGTCCCGGGTTCAAACCGCTTCACCGCCGCCCGTCTTTCCTATATCTGTATTTTCCCTAGCCAGCCTTTGTATGGTCGAAGCCCCCTTCCGGAAAGTTGACTGAACATTTGTATATTCAACAAATAGAAAAAGGAAGTAAAAAGACCTTTTTAGTATTTTCAGTCATTTATTTCACTGATACCGATGCCCCCATCCAGGAGGCCTAACGCGGGCAATGTGAGGAGGTCTCCTGGCCAGGGTTTTAAATACCCTCATGACCACCCTTTTCTTTTTCCACCCAACATCTGTCTCACCAAACAACACGCACCCAAACCTCGATAGAATAGTTATAGTTAAAAGTAATGGAGCTTAACGGTGAATCGAGTCCACTGCATCCTTTAGATCTGGAAGCAACCTGATCGTTGTTTGACGATGTTTGGTTTATCTCAAATAGTTGACGTAATGAGATGTGACTAATGTATCTATGACGTCTTTCTTAGTGTTCTCGAATTATCGTTTTTCGTTTCTCACGATACTACATACTGTCGGTTGCAGCAGTTTGGCCAGTTCTGCTGTACAACACAAAGACTTAGCCATTAGGAAAACAAACGGGCAGTTATGAGACAGTAACCAGAACTGGCGTATGAAATTTCATGCCTAATGGTTGTAAAATCTAAGACTGAAATAGAATATAAAGCTTGGTTTATCCTTTATGCTTCAGGTACCGTTGTGCAATGTTTGCATTAAGTCTAAACATCTATCCGCTAGTCTTACACTCCATCCCTCTCCTGGCCCTATTTCTATCCCTACTGAATAAACCCTTTTTAACCTCAACTGAGCACAATGGACGTGTGGTCGCCACCGCTCATTTTTGTCATATTTGTTTGCCATGCATTTCGGTTGGCAGCGTAGGAGTGGTGTGGTTCGTACTGATGAAACCGATTGTCAACCGTAAACTGATATTGTCGGTCCACAATCGATCCGTTTCATCATCATTCCGGGATATTCTTGTGAATCCTGTCAGTTATGCACATTGATTCATTGATGAAATGTTTTGTTTCTTTGTTTGCTTGCTTGCTTATGAGTTTACGCATCAAGTGCAAGTGGATTCTACGGTACTGAGTGTGCAGAGAATTTGAACAGAAGAAGCTACTCGTTCTAGATGAACCGCGGAGAAAATTGGCCAGATCTTGTGGGATATTAAGTTTCACCGTTGACCCTGAAATTGTGAGTAATATCAGGTGTATGACGAAAATTAAAAGGGACCTGGGTCGAAACAGATGACCAACTGATATTTGCAATGACTGAGATAAATTTTTTGCCCATCGGAGGATTAGCTCTTTCTTTGCTGTAGCTTAAAAATTAACAATGTAAGTCAAAACCATGATTTAGAGTTTGCCCGTGGAAGAGCGGGTGCACGTATACAGTGCTGTTCCGGAGCTGAGATATTTGTAAACGCACAATGGAGATTCCGAATCGTAACCAAAATTTGCCCTGATATGATAGATACGGGACTGTGCATTTACCATTTGTATTATAATGGGTATTATGGGATCACAGTAGTGTCCACTGCCATAGTGTGACTTTTCTCTGTACGGATGTTGTGATGTTGTGACTACTGCTTCAGAAAGCAGCCAATCCCGTTAGTTATTACTTAGCCACAATTATGGTCTACTCGAATCCAAATGCATTTCCGTGGGGTTTTGTTTATAAAATATCAAACAAAATCCCTACTATGGATATGCGATTTGCTATTCCCTGCTGATATGGGATCATATTTTCTTTGTTTCTCAGCAAACTAAAGCGATAAAATAAAACAGCTCATATATTCTTGGAGTGAATGCCGTCACATGTGACGTGGTTGTCGTTGTCCTTATACTGTCAGATGGAATTCCGAGTTGTATATACCTAGTTGATGTACGCGGTGCGCAAGTCAAGCAATCATGTTTCGCCATTGCGTATAACCTAAGCAGACAGTTGACCTGTATGTGTATCAGCTGTACTAGTCAGTCGATCGTTGCAACTCGTATCGATCCGTTCTACTACTGTATAATTGTGTTTTGTGAATGTGTACCGTGTGCACACGGACACATGGTGTAGGCCGTCAAAACGAATACCATTATCACCAGTCACCACGGACACTTGATCCGTCGGTGATTATCGGATCGGAAGGGAGTTGGTGACGGGCGGAAGTTGTTGATACAATTAACTTGCACGAGTTTGTTTTCTCACAGGCGCCGGAAGTCGTTGGCTATCGCGAGTCTGTCTGCTGGAAGCCGTGCACTACTTAGAGAGTCTCCAGTTAGCAAACAAAAGAATGGGCACTGGCATGGTCACCGTGAACCAAATAAGTGGCTACGACTGACCGGTGAAGACCTCTGCGAACTTGACGGGTTTTCGTCGGGTAAACTATTTTGAAAATCATGTCACGGATGGATAAGGCCATTATCATCACCCTGTTACTCTATACGTGGCTATGCGATACCTAGAGTCGTCTCTGATGTAAAAGACCAAGTATTACTAGGGATATCACTTCCTACTATATTCTTAAGCTTTCTTACAACTTGTTCAATGGGGTTAACTCATCTTCACCTAGAGACGAGTCGTTTAAAAACTAAGGTATCCGACAAGTATTTGGAATGGGTTGTGTGAAAAACTATTCATCATTGACCCCGTCTTAACTCCCGTATTTTCATCCATTTATTCATCATAATTGGCTGACTCATCATCCTTAGAAATACGTCCCTCCATTCGTTTGACCTGTGTTATCCCGTTGTCGGCCTGTTAGTTTTTACCTCTGCGGTGCTCTAGTCACGTGCAGGTTTTCCGTCGTGTTTTTTGCGTGCTCCCGTTGTGTACTCAGAATGATTTTCACATCTAGACACATTTCATTCGAATAGTCATATTTATTTGTATGTTCTGATTCTATGCGGAGTTCGTAAACTTTCTTATGCATGTTTGGTTTTTACGCATTGCATAGGGAGCACGGTTCTCGTGGTCCCGAGGACCTGATACCGATTACAGACACTGGTTATCTAAATTCCGTATCTTTCAGTGACTTGTGGCGCTATTCGAAATAATTACCATTTCGTCGAACACTAGTGATCCTTTCTACTACTACAACTACTACCTGTTCTTATTGCACGCCTGTAAATGGTAGTGTTTGTCGTAGCAGTCCAGCTGTATGGTGCAGAAACTGTTCGTTATGGGAACAGGATGAAGTTAGATTGTTGGTGTTCGAATACGGATGTCTAGTCGGGCAACAGACAACCAATGCGGAGGTTAGACGCAGAGTTCTAGATAATCGCGGTCGCCCGCTGGATCAAGTGTTCGACCTCTGTGGAAAACGTTGGTTGGGACATGTCTTACGAATGCTGTTAAATAGATTATCTCGTTGTGCGATGTTATCCGAGGCAAGTAGTGGTTAGAAGGTTAAAGGTGATCGAACTATGACCTGGAATAAGTTTATGAAAACTCTGACCAAGGGACTCGATCAAGTAAGCTGTGTTAGGCTTCCTGGTGGGTTAATTCAGGATCGGAGTAACCGATGATTTGGAAACACAGAGGTAACTGAGTGTCGTAACCGGTGGCGCTCGTGCTTCTAATCAATATCCTTGGAACCTTAGTCTTCCTACATTTCTCACTTTCATATTGACACCACTTTCAGACTTCCAATCCTCCCTCTAGTGTTCCCCCCCCCCCAAAAAAAAGCAACTGTAGTACCAAATTACATGCTTATTTATTGTGTAAGCTAAATTGGTTACACCTATAAACTCAGTGATGCAACATCGGGAGCATCTTCAAGGTTCATAGGTGTATGTAGGCTGAAATGCGTCAAGTCACCCGGGTAAAACGTGAGTTCGGTACATCCTTAGGGTAAGTGAACACTGTTTTGACTGTATCGTAACATTCTCAAACACATTTACATAGTAGCGCTGGGATGTTCTATGTGTAACAAGGTTGTCTTCCTGGTAATTTGACGTGTGGGACGTTGGACGTTGTGGATTTGATCAGGAATACGTGGCACACATCGGGTCCTGTAGGTGTTGGCAATGCTGCAATGTTCTCACGTTAGTCACGCTCCGTAGTTGCCAACTCACACACGTCTGATGGCAAACTGTGTCAAACAAATTGCGGTACAATAATCTTTATAAAAGAAAAACGCTCCACGGTTTGCAAGTGGGCCGAATGCTGCCAGATTGACCAGGCCAAAACAAGTGAATTTTCTTGGGGAATCCACAGCCGGAGCCTTGGGCTAACCTAAGCCTGACCCGCAAGGCAGCGAGACAGTGTGCGAAAACCGCAATCCATTGGGAGCCGATGTCCAGTTAATCGGATCATACGCCTTTTGGACGGGGCCAGACGTCCAAGATGCCCAATCTAACCGGTGACCATTGCCACAATCGGAAAGGTGTGGGTGTGGTTCGTTTGGAATTAGGGCTTTTAGCCAACTCCCCTAGGAGAATTGCCAGTGGTTCACCAGCCCGGTTATAGCCCCGGATATCGGCTTTTCGTCCTCTCACTTCGATCAGAAAACACCACCACGAGAAGGCAGTGAGTAGGACTTCCTCAGCAGAGACCATTTGAGACGCTTGGTCTTATGGGAGCATATCTCGAGGTGCAACGGACGGGTGACCAGCCACAACCCTAGACACTCACCCCCAACCATTCTGAGGATTTCGTACATAGCCCCTGCTTACGTTCCGCGTAAAAGCAATTAGGCCCGTGTCGCCTCCCACATCCCCTTGTTAACGAAAGGGTACTTTTGAATTCGTTGCACCCCCTCTCCCTTTTGCTCCTTATAAATCCGACTGTATTGGCTGGATAATAAAATCACCGAATACACCTTTTTGTGGACATTGTTGTGATTGCTACTATGGTCCTATTTCTCTACTTAAATCTAATTCTGATGAACCATGCTGAACGCCACTCACATGAGCATTGCATTAGAGCTCAATTCAGTTTCAGCCAAAAGCCTATGTTTAGCGATAGCCATTATCTAAACTGATACTGTCCTATTTACGTTTTGTGATTGTTACGTTGATTATTTTGGTATTGTGTTGCTTTTCAGACCCAATGTTCAGTTTGATCTGCTGCACAGTAAGTTTCATCTGTGCACACCGACCACGCGACAACTGATGCTATCCACATACATGAAATTTATCAATCTATTTCCCGAGATCAAACCCCAAATCCAAGATGTCCTCATGAATGACAGTAACTTGCGTAGCTCCAACATCGAGATCCAACAACGTGCAGTCGAATATCTGGCGCTGTCTCGTACCGCCTCCGATGACTTTTTGGTTAGTACATTCTCATGCGTGATCACTCCTGATGATAGCCTAGCACTAAAGACAAGTTCATTACTCCTTATCTCTTGAATTGCACGGAAACTTCTAAAACTATTCATTATCAGCGTTGAATGTGACCAATAAACGTTCTTCCTCTGATCTTCGAGCTGATTCGAATCACTTCTGCTTTGTCGCCACAGTTTTCCAGAATTATTATATCGGTCGTACTGATTTCACGAGTTTGAATTTTATTCCCTTTGTTTACACGAATCTAATTCATGTACATATTAGGAAAAACGGTCAAACTGTTTATAAGTATTCAGTGCCACTCAACCGGATCGCCAAATGTTTTTATTTCAGTTTACTCCCGCCTCAAGTGGTTAAAACGAATACGCTGTCATTCTAGTTCTTTCACACACGCCATTCGAATGCAAGTTTCAGTACCCTTTAGGCTCCAATCCTTTTATGGTGCAAGCAAGCATTTCGGATTCGGTGTGTTTATATGTGTTTATATGCGGATTACCCCTGGTAGTTTGATGTCATTTGGTCATCAAAGAATGTAAACTAATTGCTTTTACGTAGTCACAAGTTGCTTGCTAATCTTGATTAACCCATTCGCACAAGGTTGTTACTAACCGTCGTCCGTGTAGCTCAGTATAAGGGCTTCCAATCCTGACCCGCTTTTTCGCGGTGCAAGTCCTGTTAGAGTCACAACATGTACACAGTGCTGGCGAGCCCCAAACAGCACGAAACAGCAACCCAGTCTTGTAGCATCATTTCATACTTTGAAGGTAAAAAATGCATACTGAACAGAGCTGCAGAACTTGTTAGTTCATCGAGCGCGCTTTCTACGTCCTCCATGCGTTCTAAAAGGCAGACGATTTCGTCAGTTTATTCTGAATCGTGGCGACGAATGCTGTCCTTGATAAATCTTTGTTCAGATACCAAAACAGCACTTCAAAGACACATTGAGCAAAAACCTCTTGATGAATTATTCCATGAAGACAGCTCTTCCTCACGTAGGAGAAAGTCGTTAATCAATATTAAGGCCACTGTTGGTGGAATACTGCACATACCTCAACTTAATACCGAATGACGCATCCGGTACAAAGGACCGAGGTCAACTGCCGTCTGGTTCGTTCCTTCTCATCTAAAGCTCAATCAGTCAACAGTCGATGACAGCGTTCCTAGGCGGGCCGGGGGAGGGGATGAACAGTTAGACCCCATCTCGCCGAAAATTTCGTTTTCGCTCGGTAAATCNAGCACTTTTGTTTGTCAGTGGAGGAATCGGCTCATTCCATCTGGATAGTGTTTTGATAGACCCGGTTCAGTCGGCCATGACGGCAGAAGCACCAATCTTTTAGTGGGGTTCCCAGTAAAATGCAGTTGACTGGATTCATTGTAAGTTATAACGTTTTTACTTGAAGTTAAAAAGGCT